AGAGAGAGAAGTGGGAGTTGGCACAGGAGCTAACAGGCTGGGAGGCAGTTGGGGGCCAGGTGAACTTTGTGTAGCAGAGGCCGCACCCTCCCTCATTCCAGGCCCTTTCATTTTCATGCTCCATTGCCAGACTCTTGCTGGGAGCCTGTCCAGAATGTCCTCCCAATAAAACTCCATCCTATGACGCAACTGGAGTGAGTCTCTTTCTTGCAACCCAAACAGCTGGGCTAGAACACAGAGGAGTCTCAAGTTAGTGGGGTTTATTCTTAGACACCATCTGTAGGAGGGGGCCAGGAGCTGCAAGTTACATGACATTTATCACAAATTACCTTATGCTGAAGTGATTTATGTCCCTTTCTGTTCCTTGAGGCTCCATGTGTTGCTCACATTTGCCACCCATGATGACCAGCCCCGTGCATGGCACGCAGCAGTGGGCATGTGAACTAAGCATTTGTCTTGTCTACATTGCTGACAATGGGGAGGGTGGAGAACATGCACTAAATCCAGAGGTGGGACAGGGAGACAGCAAGCCAAATGCAGCCAGATGTTTGGGGGCTGTCTGGGGAAGAGAGGGTGAGGGGAGGATCATAAGCAGCCGCTGAAGCTGCGGCTACTTGGGGATTTGGGAATATCTGGCTTGGGAGTCTTCATCTGCTTCCGTGTACTTCCAAGGGGACATATGTCCATCTTGGATCGAAGGGTTCTCAGAGGGATTTATTGTGTTCGCTTCCAGTGGTCTGAGGCCTCCTGAGACTTTTTGTACATTTAATTGAAGTGTAACATACAGAAAAGTTTACACATTATAAATGCAACTCAAGGACTTTTCCAAAAGCAAACACACCCAGATCAAGAAACAGACCATCCCACAGTCCCCCCTTACACCCTGTACCAGTTGCAGCCCCCACAAGGGTAACTACTATCTTGACTTCGAACACCATAGATTTGATGTGCCTGTTTTTGAACTCTATATAAGTAGAATCACAGAGTGTGTATAATGACTTTGGAAAACTGTTTGACAATATCTATTAAAGCTAAAATACCCTTGCCCTACGAACCTGAAATTCTACTCACCTTGCCAAGAGACAAAAAGTTCCCCTCTAAATGCACCAGGCTGTCAGGGATGAAGCCTTGGCTTTGGGGCCCCCATTCATACACAAGATTTTTTCTGGGGCACCCAAGCATCAGTCATCTCGAGGTGCCACCCTGGCCATCTCTGAGGGCTGGAGTCAGAGTGCCTCCCTCAGACATCCTGTTCTGCATCACCCCTTGGGAGGAGTCATGTTTACAGATGGTGGGTGTCACCCATGCCAAGTACTTCGAAGGGTTAACGCTCACTGGTTTGCCTTTTTCCCAGGACACTTCCCGATGCTCCTCTGGAGGGTGAGGCCAACAAGCTAGTGGAGAAGTCATCTTTCCCAGGTGCTGCTGGGTGCGCCCGGAGCTGCTCAGTGCATCCTAGGATCCCTCTTCCTCAGCTTTGGTTTGATGGCCTCATCTCCTCCCCTGCAACCTCAAAACGTAAATAAACCCTTGCTCAGAGACTTCAGCAGAAAATTCCTCTGACCCGCACTTGGACACAGCTCACCCGGGTTTGGGAGGTGTCAACTGTGTAAGGAAGACTCTGATCCGCATGTGGCTCTTCGACTGCGTCCCCTCCACAGTCAGTTATTAGCACTGACTGTGCTAGGAAGTGAGTAACACACATATTCCCAGACCACATGGAGCTCAGGAGCTTGGGGAGACAGACAGGGAAGTAGACGACTACAGTGCCTTGTGAAACGTGTTGCAGGGAGAAGTGTCATTCAGGGGATGCTAACCCGGCTTTGGGTAAGGGACAGCCTCTGAATGACAGAACATTAAAGCCATGGCCTGCAGTTTAAGTAGGAGTTGGCCAGTTCGAGGTAAGAATACCAGTAAGCAAGAACACCAGAGTAGCTCCTAGAGCTGCCTTCTCTACCTGACATCCACACTGAAGCCAGCCCCTCTGTGTTCAACCTTGCTTTACTGAAGAGGTGTCGCTGAGGGGCTGCTCTGGGGGTCTGCTCTGCTTTCCTGCCCCAACTTGTTCTGAGCTCGAGTCACCTCCATATTGGTGCTCCTGGTTCTCAGGCCTTTGGACTCAAACTGAATCACACCACTGGCTTTCCTGGTTCTCCAGCTTGCAGATGGCAGATCCTGGAACTTTTTGGCCTCCATAATCACGTGAGCCAATTGCTATAATAAATATTTCTCTTTCCTTCTTTCTTCCTCTCTCTCTCCGTGTAAATATAGCTCCAATTATAAGAGCCCCAAACTGGAAAATAACCCTATGTTGCACTGGTGAGTAGAGAAACTGTGGTTCCCTCAAACCACGGAACACTATTCAGCAATACGAAGGAACAAACTATTGATATGCAAAATAGTGTAAATGAGTCTCAAAAACATCGGAAAGAGGGAAGGAAGCCAGACACAGAAGAGTACATGCCACATGATTCCATTTATATGAGATTCTAGAACAGGCAAAACTTATCTATAGACAGAGAACAACAGACCAGTGGTTGTCTGGGGTTGGGAGCGGGGAAGTTTGGTTGCAAGGGCACAGGGCTCTTTCTGCAGGTGAGGGAATGTGTCTGCATTACAGTGATGCTTATGCAGGTATATACACTTATCAAAATTCATCTTACTGGCCACAATAAGTGCATTTTATTGTGTGTAAATTATACCTTAATGAAGTTGATTTGAAAATCCAAAGTAGTAATAATAAGTAATAATCTCATAGCTGGGCAGGTGAGGTGACTCACGCCTGTAATTCCAATGATTTGAGAAGCTGAGGCAGGAGGATCACTTAAGCTCAGAAGTTCTTTTTTATTTTTATTTTTTGAGACGGAGTTTCACTCATGTTGCCCAGGCTGGGGTGCAATGGCACTATCTCTGCTCACTGCAACCTCCACCTTCTGAGTTCAAGCCTCCCGAGTAGCTGGAACTACTGGCGCTCACCACCGTGCCTAACTAATTTTTGTATTTTTAGTAGAGATGGAGTTTCACCATGTTGGCCAGGCTGGTCTTGAACTCCTGAGTTCAAGTGATCCGCCCGCCTCGGCCTCCCAAAGTGCTGGGATTACAGGCAAGAGTCACTGTGCCCGGCCAAGACCCGGAGTTTGAGACCAGCCTGGGAAACAAAGTGAGACCCTCTCTCTACAGAAAAACTAAAAATTTTAGCTGGGCCTGGTGCTGTGTGCCTGTAGTTCCAGCTACTCAGGAGGCTGAGGTGGGAGGATTCCTTGAGCCCAGGATTTAAGGCTGCAGTGAGGCATGATCAGGCCACTGCCCTCTAGCATGGGTGACAGAGTGAGACCCTGTCTCTAAATAATACTCATAAGAACAACAAGAGCCCTCTAAATGCACTGATATCTAAGATGTATTAAGTGACAAAAAAAAAAAAAAAAAAAAATCAATGTGCAGAAAAATGTTAATAAGAGAAAAAATGTGTCTGTATTGTCTTGAGTATACATAAAAATAATCTAAAAGCCTATGAAAGAAACTAATCATATTGGTTTCCTGTTGGAGAGGAGGGCTGAGAGCAGGAAGACTTTCCCTATGCTTTCTGTACTTTTTGATTTTGAGACATATGAACGTAGGTTTCTCTCACTGCTCGAACTAATCAAATCACTACATTCCAAATTCTCAAAAACAAACAGATTTGCTTAAAAGTAGGCCGCATGCCGTGTCTCATGCCTGTAATCCCAGCACTTTGGGAGGCCAAAGCAGGCAGATCACCTGAGATCAGGAGTTTGAGACCAGCTTGACCAACGTGGAGAAACCCCGTCTCTACTAAAAATACAAAATTAGCGGCACGTGGTGGCACATGCCTGTAATCCCAGCTACTTGGGAGGCTGAGGCAGAAGAGCCACTTGAACCCGGGAGGTGGAGGTTGCAGTGAGCCGAGATTGTGCCATTGCACTCCAGCCTGGGTAACAAGAGAGAAACTGTCACAGAAAAAAAAAAAAAAAAAAAAATTGCTTAAAAGTTAACATCTTGGGCTGGCTCAGTGGCTCATGCCTGTAATCTCAGCACTTTGGGAGGCCAGGGCAGGCGGATCACAAGGTCAGGAGATCAAGACCATCCTGGCTAACAGGGTGAATCCCCGTCTCTACTAAAAATACAAAAAAATTAGCTGGAGGTGGTGGTGGCGGGCGTCTGTAGTCCCAGCTACTCCGGAGGCTGAGACAGGAGAATGGTGTGAATTCAGGAGGCGGAGCTTTCAGTGAGGCAGGAGAATCGCTTGGACCAGGGAGTCAGAGATTGCAGTGAGCCCAGATCGTGCCACTGCACTCCGGCCTGGCGGCAGAGGGAGACTCCGTCCCAAAAAAAAAAAAAAAAAAGTTAACATTTCATCCAAATTTACGCCTAGTAGGAAAACACAACTTTAAAACATGAAACAGGTGTTACTGAGGCCAAAAGGGTCTCCAAGGTCTGGGAGTCTGTAGCTTTATACAATTCTGCCATCTGGCCACCGCCAAGGACAAAGGGTTGTCTCTGTCCGCTGCACCGCCTTTGCCCAGCAATGAAGCCCCCACGACCTCCGTCTCTACTGGCTCCCTCCTCCCCGGGGTCAGCGACTGGTGGCCACTGTGGCTGGGAGACAGCAACACTGACAACCGCAGCCAGTGGCCTGGACCTTCGTATCCCTGGGGGCACCCAGCGCAGATGGATGACCCGACTCAACCTCCACCAGATTCTCCTCCGGGCAGGACGGGTAGCGAGGAGGGAACCGAGATTGGCCCCAGGAGACCACGGAAGATCGCGCTTCTAGGGCCGACTTCAGCAGCGACAGGCGGCCTTTGCCCATCGCCCCACCCTACCACGCCGTGGTCCTCAAAGAACCTTCCCGGCGGTTCTCTACTCCTCTCAGGAGTAGAGGCCCTTTGAGACCGACGGGGAGGGACGGCTCAGGCCCGCCATCCGAGGCCGCATGGATTCCCTTCTCCGCCCAGCTCCACCCCTCGAGGGGCGGCGGTCCCGGAGTGGCGTCCTGGCTCCCCCAGGGCGCACGCCGTCGGGGCCCCAGGCCAGGCTCCGAGGGGGGTTGGCGGGGAGGGGAGGCGGGAGCGACGGCGGGCGGTAGCGGGTGGGGGCGGGAAGGTCCGAAGGCGGCGGCCTGGGCCTGCATGGGACGTGGGTCGGCCGCGATCCAGCCCGGGCGGAGCCAGAGCTGCGAGCCACAGCCTAGGGGCCGAGGAGCTCACAGCTATGGGCTGGAGACCCGGGAGAGCTCGGGGGTCCCCGTTCCTGCTGCTGCTACTGCTCCTGCAGCTCTGGCCAGTGTCTGGCGCCGGGGTGCTTCAAGGTGAGGACCTGGGCGGGGTGCGCCCTGAGGGGCAGGCGAGGCGAGGTGGTGGTGGTGGAGGGGATGGGTTCTGCTCAGAGCCCGGGTGAGCGCGCGGAGGGTCTCTCAGCCCCGGGACCACACGGCCAGTAGGTCAGGGCGTGGGGACGGTTTGGGGGCGTCTCCGTGGGACCTGCCCAGGACTTGCCCAAGCACAAGTGTACTTGGGCTGGCCTCGGGCCAGGACTTGCCTACACTGCCCGGCTGCCACTCCGCTGGCAAAGCGGAGGGCATGGCCCCCTCCCCCTCGGGGGCAGCCCAGCCCCCAACCCGTAGCTCCCTCTGCCTGGATTCTTGCTCTCACAACCTCCCAACCCCCACTGGCCGGCCACCGTGTGACCAGCTCCTGCACCTCCACCCTTTAGGGTTCAGCGGGGCTCCATCCTCCAGGAAGTCCCCATGCCCAAGAGTCCCCCAGAGTCCCTGCTTTGCTCTCAGGGTGCAGAACCAGCTGTGGCCTCCGCCCTGCTCACCCCTTGTCCCTCCTCCCAGGGCGGCAGGGCAGTGTGTATGTTGTTTATATTGTTGCCTTGTTTGGTGAGATAGAGAAGGGCCTTTCCAGACAGAAGGCGCCTGTTTAGTTGTGCTCTGGGAAGACGGCAGCACTGTCTCCTGGGGGTACTCCCTCCAAACAAAGATGTTAAGATGGGGCTGGTAACAACCTCTGCAAGTGGGTGGGAGGATTAGCCAGTCCTGCACCGCAAGTGCCTGGCTGGGCACAGGGCGGGTACCAGGGAGGAGGCATGCAGGGCTGGGCTGGGCTGTGCAGCCTGGGCCATGGCTTCCACAGCACTGTGTGGGGACCAAACGGGTACAAGGGTCTGCTCTGTTCTGGCCCCAGGGGAGGGTTCTAGGTGGTCCACTGCTCCCTCCCCTCTGAGCCCTATCCTGGGGCCAGGGGAAGCGACAGGACCCCTGGGAGAGGGGGGCTCTATGTGCCCAATACCAACCTGGCTCCCTCGGGGTCCACTCCCATCCACCCGGTCACTGGAGCTCCAGCTCTGCCCCTCTCTCTCTCATTGGGGTCAGGGTGCCCGTGGCCAGGATGTGTGTGTAAGGCCATGTGGAGAGCACCCATACCCACACTGCACCCACACACCTGTGCCTGAGCCCACCCTACCTCCTCCCCAAACCCTTAGAGGCCTAGGAGCAGCAAAGCTTGGTTCTCTACTCTCAGTTAAGTGCTCTCTGGGCTGAGAGACCTCCTCTCCTTCCCCTCCCCCAGATCCACTCAGAACCCTCCCTGCACTGGCCCCTCTAGCCTCCTTTCCAAGGTGGCAGACTCCTCTTGGCCCCCATTTGCCTGATGGCAACTCACTCATCCAATCAAGGAGGGCTTCTTGGAGGAAGGGTCTTTGATGCTTGGAGTCTGGGAGAGAAGGTGGAGGAGAAAAAAGAAGTTAGGGTGGCCTAGCAGGAGCTGAGTCACTTCCACAGGCAGCCATCAGCCCAGCAGGACTGAGGCCAGGGCTGCGTGGGGGCGGGGGTTGTCCCTTCTGGGAGCTGGGACTGGGTACCTGGGGAAGAAGGGCCGCTGCAGGCTCTGCGTGCCTGGGGCCTGTCTCCTGCAGGGTGGGCCTGTGGGAGTGGTTGGGGCTGGTGGGGGGCTGGGAGCATTCCACGGGAGCATTCCAGGCACCCACTGAGTAATGTTTGGCTCTGGGATTCCTCCTAGAGCCCCCTTAGGCACATCCTGCCAGGGAGAACCAAGGCCCGGTCCGGAAGCCTCCCCTCACCTTGAAGAGATGAGGAGGGGCCTTCTGGGCCAGGGTACCAAAACCCTGCCTGAGGATGGAGTCCCCGAGGGAGCTCCGGGCAAGGTGGGCCTCACAAGGCCACATCTGGCTGTTGTTTTTCTCAGATGATGGGGCTGCACAGGCGTCCTCTCTTCATAGCTCTCTCACCCTGAAAGCATCTGCTGCCCATCTAAAAATACCCAAGGCTGCCTCCCTCTTCCCTTCCCCTTTGCACTGGTGGCCTTGGCCTCTTCCTTGTGATCACTGACCCCAAGCCTGCCCCTCCACCAAAGGTCAGGGGACTCCCGCGTCTCCAGCTGAGCTGTCCTTTCCCAGCCTTCTCTTTTCCTCCTCCTTGGTAGATCCTCAGATCCAAGGACGCCCATGGATGTCCCTCCTTCTCTAGGCTGAGCCCACGCATGTTGAAGATGGAGTCTGCCCCGAAAGGCCTCCAGTGCCTCCCTGGGGATGTCCTCTAACCCCCTCCCTCTGCTTTGTCCCATGCCCCTGTGTTCCTCAGGTCCCTCTGACCCTGTGCTCTGTCTTCACTCCAGGACATATCCCTGGGCAGCCAGTCACCCCCTACTGGGTCCTGGATGGACGACCCTGGCGCGCCGTCAGCCTGGAGGAGCCGGTCAGTGCCATGTCACCTCGTCCTCCACAGGGGCCCTGAAACTCCCATCCCTTTTGTCTCCCCCACATTACAGCTTCCAGTTTTGCTGAGGTCCCCAGAACCACCAAGTCACTGCTCCTGTAGGCCCCTCCCTGCCGAGTGGGCAGAAGAGGGCACTGGAGATTGGACATCTAGGTCTCGTGAGTCCATACACATGGAAGTCATTTCAGCTTTCTCCGCCCCACCTCCCCCTTTCCTTCCCTCCCTGGATGATCTGGGCCACCCCCACTCCCACCAAGCAGAAGTGGGTCCAGGGTTTGTGGGGCCTGAAGCTTTTCAGGAGCCTAAAAAACAAAAAAAAGCACCAAAAAGAAAACCTTTTGCAAAGTTGACCAGACTTTGTTGTGGACACATTGCTGTCCCTCTCAGGGCCCCACCATTGAGGGCCTGAACCTTCAGCCTCACTGGCTCCTGTGGAATCCACTTCTGGTGGGGGGGGGCAGTGGTCACTCTCCTGGTGCCCCCCAGATGTGAGACCACCCCATGTGCTTCTGCAGGATGCTCTGCCCCAGCCTCCTCCCAATCCCACCCTTCACAAGCTTCCAGAATAACCATGCCCCATCTGTTTGTGCCGTAATATCTGTGCTGCAAGCTAAGAGGCCAGCACCCTTGATATGCCCATTTTACAGATGGGTAAATGGAATCCCAGAGAGGTTGGGGAAATTGTCCATGATCACACAGCTCTTTAGGCTGGGAGCCTGAGACCCACTAAGGTCTGAACGATTTTAAACCATTAGCTACACCCCTGCCCCCCCTAGAGAGCCGTCTTTGTTTGGAATTTTCAGCCCTACTGTCCAAACCCAGCAAGAGGGAAGGCAGGGGAGCATTGCCATGAAGGCTGGGAGGCCCCCAGAGACCCAGCAGCTCCCAACCCAGGGCCCTCACTGGGATCCCCTAGGTCCACAAGGCCCCCATTGCACTGGTCAAGCACAGCACTGGCCTGAGCTCTGAGATTGCCCCTTCTACCCCTGGGAGGGGAAGGCTGGGCACACGCTGGGGTCACTCTGCCTCTGGGCCTCCCTGTCTGTCTGGCCTGGGCTGTGACCAAGAGGGGCGCTCCAAAGGGGCCCTGGTCCCCATAACTGTGGGCCTTTGCCCCCAGGAAACCTGCCAAGATGGTACAGAAGACAGAGTAGAGGTTGGGTATCCCCTCCAACAGGCAGGAAACACTCACATTTCAAGAAGAGGGGTATATATCGAGGGGCAGGGTACCAGGAGGGCAAGAGTAAAGACAGCAGGGGCTGCAGAGGAACGGGGACCTCGAGTATGGCCTTCCATCTGGGCCACCGTCTTTCTCCCAGTGCAAACCTTTCCCCAATAAAGCAAGTGACATTCCAGCCACATGAGCTCATACCGGAGGCCTTGTGGGGCCTGTGGCCAGGGAGGCAAGGGCCATCTGCTCCCCACTTGGAAAGGAAGAACTCCCTCCAAACTCTGCGACCCTTGGACAGGGCCCCAGTCCAGTGCATTTTTGGAGAAAAGGAGTCGGGGGTTAAACATTCTGAAGGCACAGCAGCCTCCCAGGAAGCTCCTGGGCCAGCTCCAACTCTGGGCCCCCAGCCAGGCTGAGTGGACAAGGGGGAAGTGGGGTGTTCCCACAGGGTGGGAGATGCCAAGAGGGTGGGGGAAGGAGAGAGGGGCTGGCTGGCCAAGCCAGCCTCCTGACACCTAGCTGAGAGCCAGTGTGCTCTCTTGGCCAGAATGGCGTCCATGTTTACTTCGTGGGTCCAGTGAAGCAGGTGTCGGAGCAGGAGGGACAGGGACTGCTGCGGGCCCAGGAAGACTTTGGAAGAGGGAGCAGTTTGCCAAAATTGGAAGTGGAGGAGTAAAGTTTGAATTCTATAGGGAATGAGCAGCAGCTCATTTGGAAACAAGCCTCAGGTAGCAGAGGCTGTGAGGAGGCCCTGGCCATGGCTACCCGATGCCCCCACAATGTCCTCAGCACCCCTCTGTCTCCCCTGCTTTTGATGCCCCTTCTGGGCATGAAAGAAGAGGGTGGGCCAGGCGAGGGGCACCTTTCTGGGACCTCTGGTCTCTAGGGAGGATGTCGGCATGCCTGGCAGGCTGCGCCAATGCCCTTCCAAGTGGCTGTTGTCAGGACAGCAAACATTCTGAGCTTGGGAACATCGTTGTATGTTCTCACCTCCTCCACACCCTCCATAGTATGTGGGGGGTCCTGCTGACCCCCCAGCCCACGTTCTCCTCAAGAACTTCCTCCCCAGCCAGCTGCACAGGCCACCTGCTTTCTGACAGGCAGGAGGCCTGGAGGCCACTGTCTCAGCTCCACACTCTTTCTTACCCAGGTCTTGAAGCCAGACATGGGGCTGGTGGCCCTGGACGCTGAAGGCCAGGAGCTCCTGCTTGAGCTGGAGAAGAACCAGTGAGTGCCAGGCTGGGGTAGGGCTGGGAGGAGGGGGTCAGTGTTGTGGGGCAGGGACTGACACAGATCTGTGCGGGTGGCTGGATGGGCAGAGGACCCCAGAGAGGGTGCAGATGACAGGGAGAGTCACGCAGGCCTGTGGCTGGTCCCCTGGAAGCTGAAGAGGACCGCTGAGGCTGTCAGCCCAGCTGTGGGGCACATCCACCCTCCCAACCCCAGGAGCGGCTTGTCAGCTCCTTGCTGGAGATGAGTGAGCACCATCTAGTGGACAGTTGCAAGATATGCTGAGTCTAAAGAAATCTAGAGGGATCCCAAAGATGAGCCGGCACTCCAGGCTAAGTGAAGGGCAGGGACAAAGATGCGGTGGCTTTGGGAGGCCAAGGTGGGCGGCTCACCTGAGGTCAGGAGTTTGAGACCAGCCTGGCCAAAATGGTGAAACCCCGTCTCTACTAAAAATACAAAAAATTAACTAGGCGTGGTGGCGGCACCTGTAATCCCAGCTACTTAGGGGACTGAGACAGGAGAATTGCTTGAACCCAGGAGGCAGAGGTTGTGGTGAGCCAAGATCACACCACTGCACACTCTGGCTTAGGCAGAGTGAGCCTCTGTCTCAAAAAAAGAAAAAAAAAAAAGAAAAGAAAAGAAAAAAGAAGAAGATGCAGTGGCTACACTTGGGGGCAGCAGTTTGTCTGACCTGCCTGGAAGGTCTCCATCTACAGGGAGGGGAGCAGGGGGAATGAATTTGGAGAGTCCCAGGAGGGCCAGATCACAGAAAAGGCCATTTTAGTGCTCAGTGTCCTGGACCATCCAGAGCCAAAGATTTTGAGCTGGGGAAGGGACAGACAGACCTGTACTCAGGAAGGTGCCTTGGGCTGGGTGGGATGGGTGTCCCAGTTGGAACACAGGCTCTTAAAACCACCCAGACTATATTATCAATATATATTACCTACTGAGTGCTTGTTTGACTGCAGGCACTGTTCTGAGCACTTGACATGTACTTTATTCTCCCTCGTGGAGTTGGATGGACCGGGAACAAACTCTAGTTCCACTATGCCCAACCATATTTTCCCTGGGGCCAACGTCCCTACCATTTCAATGGAGTGGTCACATCACCTACCTCCTAGGGTGGTGGGTGTGTGTGGAGCGAGGGTGGGGGACACAGCTGGGGCAGGTGGTGGAATGCCTGGGAGGTGGGAAGCAGCCATCATTAGGGGGTGGTCTGGAGGTAATGAGGCCAAGGTGCGATTGGGGTAAAGGATTTTCTTTAAAGAAGAGATATTGACTTACGATTGATCCGTCCACGTGGGAAAGATCCTGTTGAGATGGAGCCTGAAAATGAAATCATTACCGGAGTGGGGTGTGGAGAAAGCGGGGAGGGCGGAAGCAGTGTGGGCAGGTGGGGGTTCTGTTTTCTCTAGAGGCAGTGGGTGAGCTTCAGTCACTGAAGGACAGATGGGAGGTATGTGGGGTCTGGAAGTCTGAGGAAAATATTTCAAGGATCTAGGGTAGGTGGGGGCAAGAGGGTTGACCAGATGCCCAAAAAAGGAGGGCAGCAGGCAGGGGAACCTGGGGAGGTTGCCGCATTTCCCTAACTCCAAGTCCCATTCCTTGGCAGTGTCTCCTGACTCCTCCCCTCCCGACCTGTGGATCCTGCTGCCTGCTGCAGGTCCCCTGAGAACCACAAACTCTTCCCCTATTCCCATTCCTCCTCCCTGGCATCCTCCCTGGTGCTTCCCATACTCACACCTCCCACAACAAAACCATCACCAAGGCTACTAACTCTAGCCCCAAGAGTTTCTGATCGGAACAAGTCACCATTGCTCCTGTCCCTTCCCTAAGACACACTGAGTGCCTCACTCATAAAGCTGCTCCATTAGCATTTAGGGAGGAAGGCTGGGAGACATCCTGGAGGCAGCAGGAAGAAGCCAAATTCAATGCTCCCTGTAACACCCCCTCTCAGCAGGCTGCTGGCCCCAGGATACATAGAAACCCACTACGGCCCAGATGGGCAGCCAGTGGTGCTGGCCCCCAACCACAAGGTGAGATGTTTCCATGGGCTCTGGGATGCACCCCCAGAGGTACCCCCCACCATTCCTACCCCTACTCCTCCTTGCATTCTTAAGGGGAGGTTGGAGCCAGCCCCTGCCACACCCTCCCTCTTGCCCCTCTTGCTCCAGCCCTGGCTGAGATGTGGGGCTGGCCCCTTCCTCCCTAGGATCATTGCCACTACCAAGGGCGAGTAAGGGGCTTCCCCAACTCCTGGGTAGTCCTCTGCACCTGCTCTGGGATGAGGTGAGCTCTGGGAGAGGAGGCTGGGCCTGGGATGGGGAAAGAGCTCCCTCACACCCACTTCTACCCCTCTGCACCCTAGTGGCCTGATCACCCTCAGCGGCAATGCCAGCTATTATCTGCGTCCCTGGCCGCCCCGGGGCTCCAAGGACTTCTCAACCCACAAGATCTTCCGGATGGAGCAGCTGCTCACCTGGAAAGGAGCCTGTGGCCACAGAGATCCTGGGGACAAAGCGGGCATGGCCAGCCTTCCTGGGGCTCCCCAGAGCAGGGTCAGGGGCATCCAGGGGATGGGAGTGGGAATGCTGTATCTATAGCTCTCCAAATCAGAAGAGACAGGAATTCACAGGCCTTAAGTCCCAGTATTTTTACTGGAGTCTGAAGAAACAAGTTCCAGCAAACATGTTCAATTTCTTTCTGGGAGCTGGGGTTGGTGGTCAGGATTCAAGCCCAGCAGCTTCCACTCAGGGACCCCATTTGCCCCTCCGCAGGACAGGCGAGAAGCGCGCAGGACCCGGAGGTACCTGGAACTGTACATTGTGGCAGACCACACCATGGTGAGGAGAGACCCCAGGGGTTGGTGGGGTCTGGGATGGGGCCAGCTCAGCACCTCAAGCCACCAGGATTTCTGCCTTCCCAGTTCTTGACCCAGCAGCGAAACTTGAACCACACCAAACAGCGTCTCCTGGAAGTCGCCAACTACGTGGACCAGGTTGGGGGCGGGGAGAGAGTGGTGATGCGGGTGGCGGCGGCAGGACAGACAGGTGCTAGTGAGGTGCGGGGAAGAGGAAGGGCGCCCCCATGAAGGAGCAGCGGCGCGGTGGGGCGCCCTGTCTTGGTTTCAGCCCCGCTTCGCCCTCAGCTTCTCAGGACTCTGGACATTCAGGTGGTGCTGACCGGTCTGGAAGTGTGGACCGAGCGGGACCGCAGCCGCGTCACGCAGGACGCCAACGCCACGCTCTGGGCCTTCCTGCAGTGGCGCCGGAGGCTGTGGGCGCAGCGGCCCCATGACTCCGCGCAGCTGCTCACGTGGGTGCCTCTGACCCGGACGCGGGTCCTGGGCGGGGCGGCCTCACCTCCCGGCCCCGCCCGGTCACTCTGCGCTCCGCCCCCAGGGGCCGCGCCTTCCAGGGCGCCACAGTGGGCCTGGCGCCCGTCGAGGGCATGTGCCACGCCGAGAGCTCGGGAGGCGTGAGCACGGTGAGCCCCGCGGGCGGGGGCGAGGGGAGACACGGTAGGCTCTACGGCCGCAGTGACAGCCCTCCCACGGTCCCCCAGGACCACTCGGAGCTCCCCATTGGCGCCGCAGCCACCATGGCCCATGAGATTGGCCACAGCCTCGGCCTCAGCCACGACCCCGACGGCTGCTGCGTGGAGGCTGCGGCCGAGTCCGGAGGCTGCGTCATGGCTGCGGCCACCGGGTACGCGCGTGGGGGGTCGGGGCTGCGGCGGGGCGGCTAGTCCTGGAGACTTCCTCCGCTGCGTTTCTTTGGTCGTCCCTCAGTTTCCTCTTCTGTAGAATGGGAATAATGATCATAGTGTCCGCTTCAGGGTGGTTTATGAGGCTTAAAGGGAAGAAGCTCAGGCAAAGTGGATTCTCAACGGTATGAAGATAATTTTCCGAGTAACCTGGCGAGGTTACTTCTACACCAGGCGGCGCACCGCCGGGTCGCGATTCCACCTTGGGTCCCGGGCTGCCCACTCTTGGGGCCACACCGTCCTCCGTCCCGCTCGCTGTGTGACTTTGAGCGGGTCACTTCCCCTCTCTGGGCTCTGCCCCTAGAGGATTCGAGCCTCCCATCACTCAGGCGTGTCTGCGCATCTGGTGGCTGTAGCCAAGCCGAGGGATGGGGATCGGAGAAGGGCGGGGGTTGGAGGACTGTCTCTCCACTTTCAATGCCCTCCCCGTGCCAGTAGGCACCCGTTCCCGCGCGTGTTCAGCGCCTGCAGCCGCCGCCAGCTGCGTGCCTTCTTCCGCAAGGGGGGCGGCGCGTGCCTCTCCAATGCCCCGGACTCCGGACTCCCCGTGCTGCCGGCGCGCTGCGGGAATGGCTTCGTGGAGGCGGGCGAGGAGTGTGACTGCGGCTCTGGCCAGGTTAAGTTGGCTCGCCCGGCCCCTACTCGCCCTCTCGGCCCAGGTCTGGGGCGCTGCGCCCTCACCTGGTCCCTTCTTGCCTTTCTGGTCCCAGGAGTGCCGCGACCTCTGCTGCTTTGCTCACAACTGCTCGCTGCGCCCGGGGGTCCAGTGCGCCCACGGGGACTGCTGCGCGCACTGCCTGGTGAGGGCATGGAAGGGTCAGGGTGAGGGTTTCGGGCCGCTTGGGAGCCGGTTGGTTGGCCTTAGTTAATTGGTGCCCTCAGGTTCCCCGTTGGGTGCTGGCGTGGGTCGGCCTGGCTCCCCCAGCTCCGAGCCACGCTCTCGACGTGGACTTCTCACTGCCCACGGCATCTCTCTGCCCTCCCCACTACCCTTCACCTGCGCAGCTGAAGCCGGCTGGAGCGCTGTGCCGCCAGGCCATGGGCGACTGTGACCTCCCTGAGTTCTGCACGGGCATCTCCTCCCACTGTCCCCCAGACGTTTACCTACTGGACGGCTCACCCTGTGCCAGGGGCAATGGCTACTGCTGGGAAGGCGCATGTCCCACGCTGGAGCAGCAGTGCCAGCAGCTCTGGGGGCCTGGTGAGAAGACAGGAGCACCCTTGCACCCTGCTCCTCATCCTCTGGTGGGGCCAGTTTTCTACTGTGGGGAAGATGGGCAGGGGAAACTGAGGCCCGCTGAGCGCGGGCCCTCTCCGAGCTGCCCCCAGCCTGGCCCATTCTTCCTCAGGCTCCCATCCAGCCCCCGAGGCCTGTTTCCAGGTGGTGAACTCTGCGGGAGATGCCCACGGGAACTGCGGCCAGGACAGCAAGGGCCACTTCCTGCCCTGTGCAGGGAGGTAGGGAGTGGAACTGAGTGGAGGGAGCAGAAGCTATGGAGTGGGTTTGGGGAAGGGGGGTACTGCAGCTGTCGACTCCCCTCTGCTTCCTCCCCAGGGATGCCCTGTGTGGGAAGCTACAGTGCCAGGGCGGAAAGCCCAGCCTGCTCACACCGCACATGGTGCCAGTGGACTCCACCGTTCACCTAGATGGCCATGAAGTGACCTGTCGGGGAGTGTTGGCACTCCCTGGTGCCCAGCTGGACCTGCTTGACCTGGGCATGGTAGAACCAGGCACCCAGTGTGGACCTAGAATGGTGAGCTCTGCCCACCTGACCCTTCCTTGACACTTGAATTGTGCAGGCCAGTGTCCCGCTCACTGCCTGGTGCACCACCCGTAGGTGTGCCAGAGTAGGCGCTGTGAGAGCATCGCCTTCCAGGAGCTGCATCGCTGCCTGACTGCCTGCCACAGCCATGGGGTGAGAGCCCGAGGAGTCGGGGTGACCTTGGGGTTCTAATCCCACGTGACCCTCCTTCCCTTCTCTTCTCTGCAGGTTTGCAATAGCAACCATAACTGCCACTGTGCTCCAGGCTGGGCTCCACCCTTCTGTGACAACCCAGGCTTTGGTGGCAGCATGGATAGTGGCCCTGCGCAGCCTGAAAGTACACCAGTGGGGGGCATGTGGGCAGGAGCTGGGGTGGTGCACCTGCTCAGGACTCAGTCCCCCTTCCCCCGATCCCCGCAGACCGTGACACCTTCCTGCTGGCCATGCTCCTCAGCGTCCTGCTGCCTCTGCTCCCAGGGGCTGGCCTGGCCTGGTGTTGCTACCGACTCCCAGGAGCCCATCTGCAGCGATGCAGCTGGGGCTGCAGGAGGGACCCTGCGTGCAGTGGGTAGGCTCCAAGTGCCTGCTTCCTGAGCCTACTCCTGCGGTTCACCTGCTCAGAGCTCTGCGGGGGCTGCAGGAGTTGGAGCAGGCCCTCAGCCTTGCCCCCAGGTGCAGAGAGCAGCCCCCGAGGCTGTGGAAAGAAGTAGCTTTGAACAGGAGGTTCCAGTGGCCTCCCAGTCAAGCAAGGGGGTGGATCCCTGGCCCACCACCAGCACCGAAAGGCATGGCCCTCTACCTCCCAGTACAGCTCCTCTTGTTCACGCTCCTGCTTCTCCCACCAGCTGAATGCCTCACCCTTGACTTCACCCTGTTTTCCCTGGCTCAGATTGCAGTCCCTGTACCATGCTGCCCCTGGAGGCCTGTCTAGCCTCTGTCTCACAAGTTTTCAGCCCTTTGCCACTTCCTCTGCCCAAATCGCCTCTGTCACCCCCTTGAAGTTCCCAAATGCTGGGCCCAGCACATCTTTTCACTCCATACCACTGGTCAGCTGCAGCGCTGGCTGCCCCTGTGCCAGGGCCCTGCCCTAACCCAGTTCTCTGTGACCTGGGACCTGGGTGGTGGTGGAGAGGGGAGTCACATAATACTAAGCATGGCTGTCCTAGGACTCACCCTGCACCAGGGCCCTAGGCAGGGCAGGCACTCTGTGGCCATGTCTGACATAGCCTGATCTTGGGAGTGCTCCAGGCAAACCAAGGGAGATGGCAGGATTTGGGCCAGAGATGGGGGCAGAGGGCATAACAGGGGCAGGGCACCACCTGGGCCCCAGGTAGCAGCTAAGAGGACCCTGACACAGTGAGTCGTGATTGAGGGTCTGTGGGCAGAGGAGCAAGGTGGCCAGAGCCTGGTGTGTCAGCATGGAGGGGGCGCTGCAGAGGGCAGCGGCCGCTTCTCATCCCCAGGCGGGGGGAGTCTTAGGGCAGGGGAGAGTGTTTTGAAGGAACATCACTGGAAATGACAAGGCCCTGGGAGATGGGATGGGGACAGTCAAAGATGGCTTGGAATCATCAAGGGCAGCAGGGTACCCAGGGACAAGGAGAGCAGACATAGCTGCCGAAGGGGCAGACGTCCAGGGTTCTTTGGAAGCTGAATGATGCCAACATCCAGAGAGTGCCAGGCTGATGGGTGGTGCCAGAGCCTGGAGGAAATGTTAGGACTAGAGAGAGGAGGTGCCAGCCGAGGGCATGAGGCTCAAGTGGAGCCTGGATCCCAAGGCTTCCCTGAAGAGGGAGCAGGAAGGGAGCTGAGTGGGTGACTTGGAGCAGAGGGATGCCCCCAAGAAACTCAGTAAACGCAGAACTGGACACCATGCTGTGGGGAGGCAATAACCCACTCAGGGTCATTGTGCCAGCCTCCTGGACTCTTATCACATTGCTCAGGCCCAAGGATGGCCCATACAGGGACCACCCCCTGGGCGGCGTTCACCTCATGGAGTTGGGCCCCACAGCCACTGGACAGCCCTGCGCCCCGGGTGAGTGAGGCACCAGTGGGAGGTGGAGAGGGAAGGGAAGGGAAGGGAAGGGCTCATGCCTCCTGCCTCCTTCCAGATGGGCAGCACCCAGTCACCTTGAGTCCCCTGTGCCCCACCCCAGCCCTAGGGTCTCCTGCTGACCATATTCACAGCATTCACCCTCCACCATTGCTCCCAGGCCCCGAGAACTCTCATGAGCCCAGCAGCCACCCTGAGAAGCCTGTGGCCCGAAGTCCCGCCTGACCCCCAAGGTAGGCAGGGACCCGGATTCAAAGCCTCCCCCTCTCATCACCCACCCTCCCACCTCTCCCACCCCTCAGGTTTCTGGGCTCAGGTTATTATGGAAATGAGTTTATGACCTCTTGGAGAAGCTGTTGTCATGGAGACCAGGATGGTGGAAGCCCCTGAGCTGGGGAGGGAGAAGCTGTGGCTTTTCCTGGATCATTGGTCCTCACTGAGTGAGGATGGGCTCCCTATCACACAGCTTGCAGCCTGGGGCCCCGGTCCTTAGGGGACAACATATTCTCCTCGTTCTCAGCAGATCAAGTCCAGATGCCAAGATCCTGCCTCTGGTGAGAGGTAGCTCCTGAAATGAACAGATTTAAAGACAGGTGGCCACTGACAGCCACTCCAGGAACTTGAACTCCAGGGGCAGAACTAGTGAATCACTGGACCTCCAGCACCTTCAGGCAGCTTGGAAGTTTCTTCCCTGAGTGGAGCTTCAACCCACCCACTCCAAGAACCCAGAGCCACATTAGAAGCTCCTGAGGGCAAGGGGACACTGCTGGGCACACTCTCCAGCTCAATAATCCATCAGTCCCAGAAGCAAAGGTCACACAGCCCCTGACCTCCCTCACCAGTGGAGGCTGGGTAGTGCTGGCCACCTGAAAAGGGCTCTGTCCTGGGAGCCTGGTGCGTCTCCTACATGCAATTTCCACAGACCCAGCTCTGTGGAGGGCATGACTGCTGGCCAGAAGCTAGAGGTCCTGGGGCCCTATCGTTTGACTGAGTTCCCACTGCCCTGGAGCCTGGCCCCTGCAAACAAACACAATCTTGGGGACCTTCCTTCCTGTTTCTTCCCACCTTGTCTTGTCCCCTAGGTGGTTCCTCAGCCTCCACCCACAATCCCAGTGCGGCACCTGAAGTTCTGGAGCTCAGAGTCTGACAGCCTCTCCCCCATTCTGTGTATGGGAGGGGACAGAGGGAACCATTTAAGAAAAGATACCAAAGTAGAAGTCAGAAGAAAGACACGTTGGCTAAGTGTGGTGGCTCATGCCTATAATCCCAGAACTTTGGGAGGCTGGGGTAGGAGGATCACTAGAGACCAGGAGGTCCACACCAGCTGGGACAACATAGCAAGACCCTGTATCTACAAAAAAATTTAACATTAACTGGGCATGGTGGTGTGTACCTGTAGGCCTCGCTGCTCAGGAGGCTGAAGCAGGAGGATCGCTTGAGCCTGAGTTCAACATTGCAGTGAGCTATGATGAAACCACTGCACTCCAGCCTGGGTGACAGAGCAAGACCCTGTCTCTAAAATAAATTTTAAAAAGACATATTGCACTTGGACCTTGGTTAGTCTTTTCTATATGTAAATTCAACCCTACGGGGTGCCCTGAGGACCCCACAGGGTGGTGGCTAGCAGGCTGGTGGCTGGCAGGCCAAGCCTAGATGGCAGCCAGGGCCTCAGGCATGTGTCTGGGCACAGGACGGTGTTGCCTAGTTTGAACACCCTCTTTGCTCTGTCACTCCTGCCTCCCTTGGGTGTTCACATTCTCCCATTGCTTCATGCAAGAGCTGCTGAGTGGCCTATATCAGCCAGCTTTTGCCACATTAACAAAATCATCCCAAAACTGAGTGCGGGGAGGCAACCTCAGCTCGGGCTCCACTCCACGAGTCCAAGGGGCCAGGTGAGAGTGCTCTCTAAAGCCCCCTCCTGCCTCAGTTGTAGTTGCGAAATTTTAATTTATGAAGGTGACTGAATGATGACACAGAGGCCAATGCTGTTGAAAGAAGTTATTACTCAGTTTCCCACCCTGCAGGGCCACAGTGGGGACGCACTAGGTTTGGTCCAGGGACAGAATCAGGAGCGAGTGGAAGGCACAGGCCACAGCCCTCAGTGCTGTTTCCACTGGGGAGGCAAGGGGCTGGGGGAAGAGGGTAGGATTGGCATTTTGAATCATTCTGGTAGGCTTTGGGGCGTGGGGTTGGGCCTAGTTGTCTGGGTTGATACCTGGCCCTGAGCTGGTTTAAGACAGGGGAAATACTGGCCTAGTACATGAGAGTTCCTTGAAGGGGGTGGTTGGTGTATGGACTCAAGATTGGTCGGTTTGCATATGAAAGGCATGAGTTGTTTCTGATCCCCAAGAATCAAGCAGTTTCTGTCCAGCCAACAAGTCCCCACCCCGAGATGTTAAACCATCATGAAATAGAGAATCTAAGGCCAGGCATGGTGGCTCACGCCTGTAATCCCAGCACTTTGGGAGGCCAAGGCGGGCGGATCATTTGAGGTCAGGGGTTCGAGACCAGCCTGGCCAATGTGGTGAAACCCCATCTCTACTAAAAATACAAAACTTAGCCTGTTGTGGCGGCACGTGCCTATAATCCCAGCTACTCGGGAGGCTGAGGCAGGAGAATCGCTTGAACATGGGAGGTGGAGGTTGCAGTGAGCTGAGATCGCGCCACTGCACTCCAGCCTGGGCGACAAAAACAAGACTCCGTCTCAAAAAAAAAAAAAAAAAAAAAAAGACAGAATCTAAAGAAACACATTAATATACCTCCCCTGCTCTTACCCTTCAGGAGGGGATGTCTGGACCCCACGGCACTCCAGTTACAAGGGACCCTAGAGGAGGCCAACTCTACCCCCTTGGCTATTCCCTAAGCACCCCCTCCACCCCTTCCCCATTCAGAGGCGAGCCCTGGGGAGGCCAAGTAGGAAGGAAAGAGGGCTGTGGGAGGGGAGGTCCCGGTCTGGGGCAGAGGCCTGTCTGGAGCCCGAGATCACCTGGCTGTGCTGGAGAACTGGAAAACAGAAGCTCAGCGGAAAGGAGCTGGCATGGGGCCAACAGCAGAAACGCAGGAGGGACACAGAAGTGACTGGGAAGCAGGAGGGCAGGTATGGACCCTGAGGCTGAGCAGGGGGTGCTGAGGGGCAGAGTGGACATGGAGCTGGGGGCAGTGAGCGAGCCCAGCTCAGCTGTGACGCCCTCTCTTGGTCACCCAACTACCAGCTGCTTGGGCTGCCCCGGGAGGGACTGGGCTTCCTCTGACACTCCGTGCGGCCATCTGTCACGCCTTCTTCTCTCCCGCCCCCTCCCTTGACTTGTGGCACCCACAGACAGGTGGGAGATTGCACCTGCCCTGTGTGGTCAGAGCTTGGTCTTGAGTTTCCTTCCCTCATCCTTCTTTCCTGCCACACGCCAGAACACAAGAGGATGTGTCGGAGGCCTGTGAACTAGAGCAACTCCATCTTGAATAGAGGCTGAGTAAAATAAGGCTGAGACCTACTAGGCTGCGTTTCCAGACAGTTATAGCATTCTACATCGCAGGATGAGACAGAAGGTCGCACAAGATACAGGTCACAAAGACCTTGCTGATAAAACAGTTTGCAATAGGCCGGGCGCGGTGGCTCATGCCTGTAATCCCAACATTTAGGGAGGCTGAGGTGGGTGGACCACTTGAGGTCAGATGTTTGAGACCAGCCTGGCCAACAAGGTGAAACCTCATCTCTACTAAAAGTACAAAGACTAGCCGGGCATAGTGATGTGCGCTTGGAGTCCCAGCGACTCGGGAGGCTGAGGCAGGAGAATCGCTTGAACCCAGGAGGTGGAGGTTGCAGTGAGCTGAGATCATGTCACTGCATTCCAGCCTGGAACGAGACTCTGTCTCAAAAAACAAAACAAAGAAACAAAAAAACCAGGTTGCAGTAAAGAAGCTGGCTAAAACCCACCCAAACCAAGATGGCGAGGAGAGTGACCTCTGGTCGTCCCCACTGCTACAACTCCCACCAGCGCCATGACAGGTTACAGATGCCATGGCAGTATCAGGAAGTTACCCTATATGGTCTAAAATGGGGAGACAAGAACAATCCACCCCTGTTTAGCATATAATCAAGAAATAATCATAAAAATGGGCAACCAGCAGCCCTCAGGGCTGCTCTGTCTATGGAGCCATTCTTCTATTCTTTTACTTTCCTAATAAACGTGCTTTCACTTTACGGACTGATTTCAAACTCTTTCTTGCAGGAGATCCAAGAACTCTCTCCGGGGGTCTGAATCTGGACCCCTTTCCGGTAACAGATGTTGTAGAGTGAAGCACAACCACTGCAGGGGCATCTTGGTTTACATTTTGCTTCAGTGGCTGTGGTTAGCACAGTAGAAAGCACATCAGAGTCCTCTGATTCATAAAAAAAATTAGGAAGTGAACCACCACAAACCACAGACAGATGTACTGAGACAGGATACGTAGTCAAGAAAGTGACCACATTCTAGGTGCGCAGCAGCAACTGTGGTGACCGTACAATCAAGCCTCAGCATTGGCACTGCAATTGAGCTCATTCAAGCAAAGCTATCTTCAGCAGGGACTCCCCGCTGCAGAGAGCAAGCGCATTTTTATTTTACTTGTCCTCAAACTGATCCTTTGCTCATTATAATAGTAAGAAACACATCCCTGTGTGGAGATTTAAAATGCTAATGAGGCCGAGCACAGTTGCTCATGTCTGTAATTCCAGCACTTTGGGAGGCTGAGGTGGGCGGATCACTTGAGGTTAGAAATTCTAGACCAGCCTGGCCAACATGGTGAAACCTCATCTCTACAGGTGGCAGGCACCTGTAACCCCAGCTACTCGGGAGGCTGAGGCAGAAGAATTGCTTGAACCCAGGAGATGGAGGTTGCAGTGAGCCAAGATTGTGCCACTGCACTCCAGCCTGAGTGACAGAGCAAGACATTTCAAAAAACAAACAAACAAACAAAAAAGTCAAGACAAATAATGGGGGGCTTTTTTGGTCACTTTAAAAATCTCAGTATTGAGACTTTATTTGAGACAGGGCCTTACTCTGTTGCTCAGGTTGGATGAGATTTTTAACCTCAATATTTACTTATAGAATAACTTTTTGGTTAGTCAAAACAACGCTGTGTCTCATTCTGATCAGAATAAAACATCAGACAACTCAAGAGAAACATTCTACAAAATAACTGGCCAGGATTCTTCAAAAGCATCAAGGGTAAAGATAAGGAAAGATGAAGGAACTCCCAGACTGAGGAGACTAAGGAGACAACTGTGACATGGGATCCTAGAATGGATCTTGGAACAGAAAAAGGACATTAGTGGAAAAATGGGAAATGCAAAATGGTCTACAGTTTTGTTAATAGGATTGTACAAAGGTTAGTTTCCTAGCTGTAATGATCGGACTATGATTAATTAAGATGTACCATTAGGGGAAGCTGGGTGAAGGGTGTAAGGAAAATGCTTACATTTTTCAACTTCTCTGCAAGTCTAAAATTAGTCAACAATAAGAAGTTTAAAATAGGCCAGGCATGGTGGCTCACACCTGTCACCCTAGCACTTTGAGAGGCCGAGGTGGGAGGATCGTTTGAGCCCAGGAGTTCAAGACCAGCCTGGGCAATAGGGTGAGACCCCAACTCTATTCAAAAAAAAATTTAAGTTTAAAATAAAATTATGTAAAAAAGGAAAAGAAAAATGCAATTTCATAGTGTTCCTAATTTAGCATGGGAGGGACCAGGTCTCCCTGGATGGTTGTCTGTGTGTTGCTGGGTGTGCGTGGTGGGGCTAGTGTGTTGGGGTCCATCTAGGCACATTCAGGTGCGGAATCCCGTGGCTCCCAGGTTTACCTGAAGGTGCAGCCTGGGGTGGAGACTTAATGAGGGCGGGGAGTTGTCGCAGCAAAGGCTCCTCCCAGGGGTATCAGCGCAGACAGCTGGGTTTTCACTGTGCTCCTGCTCCAGAGGCGCTAGGAAGGTGGCGCCTATCAGACTAGGGCTCTGCCAGCCATCCTTCTCTGTTCAAGGTCCAGCATGGTCTGCTGCCTGGGGCTTGTGCTGCTGCTGCTGTTACCGGGTGAGTGCCCCTGTCTTCCTCTGGACCCGAACCCTGGCTTCTCTGTCCCTGCTCCTCAGTGACAAGGTGGGAGGGCAAGAGATTCCAGAAAAAGCTGAGCCACAAGAACGGTTGCCAGCGAGAGGCCTGTGCTCAGGGCTTGGGGACACCTGGCAATAGACCCCACTATGTGCTGAGCACCTCGCCTCCCAGCCCAGTCAAGCCACCACCGCCACCCTCGTCCCGAGTCCAGCCTTGGCACCCCTGCCCCAGGAACTTTTGCCTATTGTCTACCGTCTCCCAACTCTCTCACCCTCCCCTCAGCCTCAGCCCTCCTACTCATTGCACAGATTCCTTGCTGTGAATCTTCGGTGTTGTTCATCTGTTGTTCCACCTTCTTGGACTGCTCCTTCTCTATGTGGATGTCATGGAGGGAGGGGTCACTTTACTGAGTGTAGTGTGAAAAGTGGAATCTGGTAAAGGTTTAAGGCGGAGATTTTGCAGCTGAGATGAGCTGCTGTGAGGGTGGAGACGCGGTAAGGGTGTTCTGGGCAAGGGTGACAGGTAAACAACAGGCAAAGGTGGGTCCAAACCCTTAGGCCACACGAGGTGCTGGTGTGTGCAGCTGAGACCTGGGGATGAGCCTGGCAAGGCTGTGAGAGGAGAGCAAAGTGTGCCCTTTGAGGAGGGGAGGAAGGGAGACCCCGCTGCCCTCTATCCCCTCTACTCAGGGACCATTCTAAGCCCTCGACCTATGTTCATCCTTCCTGCAGAGGCCGGTGCTGAAGTCACAGCAGGAATCACTCTCACCACGCAGTCCAATCCACGGCCTGAAAGACACGGCCATTGTCAGAGAGGCACCCTGCTCCCAGCCTTGGGGTGGGAGACCACCCCCTAACCCCTGTGCACAAACACACAGGGAGATGGAGGAGGGGCCAGGCTGTGCACATCCACTCAGGCTGGGCACCAGAAAGGCTTCTAGTCTGAATGAGGTGCTCCAGACTGGAGAACTTGTGAAGGCTGGGGGGGATTCGATTAGCCTGGTTTTAGTGACTCAAGTTCTGGGAAGGGGCTGCCAAGTCCCAACTTACAGTTACCCTGGATGGGGCAGGATGACCTCGACTCAAGGGAGCATCAGGGAGGAGAAGCACGAGGTCAGGAAAGAGGGAGAAACAGAAACCAAGAGACCCACCCAAAGCGTCTCCATGGTGGGGTATAAGGGACGAGGTGGAGGGGTAGAAGAGGAAAGGTATGGCGTCCCAGCCTGTCATTAAGAGACTAGGAGCAGCCACTGTCTTCTATGCGATCTCTGGTTTTAAAGTCTCCATTGGCCAGATCCCCAGAAAGCCTCATTGTTCCCCCGCCAGGTAGTGCCCGTGAGTGTGGGAGGAGCCCCTGGACCCGTCTTTGGACCTGTGAGGCCGTTCTGGGAATGGTGGTGATGCCTGGGAAGGAGGGGCCTAAGCTTCTGGGGAAGGCCTCAGCCTTGATGCTCCCTCTCCATCCCTGACGTGTTGCAGGGCCCTCCAGAGCCCGCCGCTGCCCATCCCCACGATGGAGAGCCTATCAATGCCAGTCGGCCCTGCCTCTGGGCCACACTCTGTGCCTTCTCGGGTTTTCAGTGTCCCCTACCTTCCAGGGGCGTGGACGGGCTGGGTGAAGTGTGCACGCGGGGCGCACGGAGACCTGCAGCCTGCCCGCTCCTTTGCCAGGGTCGGTGAGCTCGGCCGGAGGGAACCGATGTGTAGACGCGGCCGAAGCCTGCACTGCGGACGCGCAGTGCCAGCGGCTGCGCTCGGAGTACGTGGCGCAGTGCCTGAGCCGGGCCGCGCAGGAGGGCTGTCCCCGCGCCCGCTGCCGCCGCGCCCTCCGCCGCTTCTTCGCCCGCGGGCCGCCGGCGCTCACCCACGCACTGCTCTTCTGCCCGTGCGCCGGCTCCGCATGCGCCGAGCGCCGGCGACAGACCTTCGTGCCCTCCTGCGCCTTTTCCGGGCCCGGCCCCGCCCCGCCCTCCTGCCTTGAGTCCTTGAACTTCTGCCAGCGCAGCCGGGTCTGCAGGTGCGCGCGGGCGGAGGCGGGGCAGTGACTAGGGTTGGGGCGGAACCTCTCTCCCGCTCACCGCCCTCCCGCCGCGCAGGCCGCGCCTCCTGGCCTTTCAGGCCTCATGCACTCCCGCGCCCAGCGCCCCCGACGGCTGCCTGCGGGACCAGCGCGCCCGCTGCCTGCGCGCCTACGCGGGCCTCGTGGGTACGCGCGACTGGGATCTGGGCGTGGGCGGGGGCTCTCCAGGGGATATCTCCGCCTGGGTGGGCCGATGACCTCGCCCTCCGGTCCCCGCAGGCACCGCCATCACCCCCAACTACGTGGACAACGTGAGCGCGCGCGTGGCGCCCTGGTGCGACTGCGGAGCCAGCGGGAACAGGCGTGAGGACTGCGAAGCCTTCCGGGGGCTCTTTACAAGGAACCGCTGCTTGGGTGAGGGGGCCCGGGCGGGGGTGGAGGGGGCTGGGAGCCATTTTAGAGGGGAAAATGGAAGACTGTACAGTTAAGTCACTCTGTCACAACTGTCCTTATTTTGTTATTCCTCACCACGCACCTTCCGTCCCAAGGAGCCAGTCTTTGCAGCAGTAGTTCTCTCATTTTGTGCCCTGTGCTGGGCCCTGTGCTAGGGTTTCCCAGCCAAGCCCACCCTGGACCCCTCCCTTCATAGATGGTGCCATTCAGGCCTTTGCCAGAGGGTGGCCCCCGGTCCTGCTGGACCAGCTGAAACCCCAGGGGGACCCGGAGCACAGCCTCCTGCAGGTAGGTGCAGGGAGGGGAGGGTGAGCTGGTGCCTCCCCCACTGTCACCTTCCCCACTGTCACCTTCACACCTTTCCGTGTTGGGTGGACCTGGGTGGAGGCGTGAAGGGCTTGGGGTCGGGGTGCAGGCAGAGGGCAGAGCCAGGCTTTTGCCTCAAGTCTGCACTTGGCTCCCACCCTCAAGGTGTCCTCTGCAGTCAGAGCCCTGGAGGGACGCTCTCTGCTCTCCATACTTCCTGTCCTGGCTCTCCCGGCCCTGCTCTGACTAGGACAGCGACCTTGGACAGCACAGCTAGCTACCGCATCCTGCCTGCCTGGGCTGCCTCTCTGGCCTGCTGGCCCCTTGAAAAGGGACTGCCTTACCCCCCAAGCCGGCCCTGGTGCTCTCACCCAGCTGCCCTTTGTAGGTCTGGATACCCTGTGTGCCATCCCCTGGGGCGAGGGATGTAGGCTGGGGCCTGACTGCAAAGCCCCCGGTCTCCCTGTCAGGAGGCATCTTGGTTGTAGCTCCCTTTATCCACAGACCTTGAGACCACTGGCGTCTCTCACAAGGTTGGGTCAGGAGAGGGTCACTTTTGTAGCTGAGACCTCCCTGGAGCCCCAGATCTCCTAGAGAAGGTCAGAGACCATTCAAAAATCCCAGAATTCTAGGAAATTATATCAGCCTCCCAAGCAGATAACCCCTTAAGGAATCCATCGGACAAGACCCCTTCTAACACTGCATCCTCCCAGCTGGGCATTACCCACCATTGTAGCCACCTGTGCACTATGACCATGCTGGCAGAGTCTTCCCTGTTCCCCGTATGCTGCTGGATGGGCCCCACCGTGTGCCCTGCCTGGCATTGGCCCTGTGGCCATCTTCCCCCTGGTTTCCTGCAGCTGTAGGAATAACACGCAGTGCTTATTAAACCTATGTGTGCTGAGACTGACCTTGCTTTTATGTGATCTGTGTCCTGGAGCCTGGGGACCAGGGTCTGCCGCTGGATGTATTCCTGCTGGCCTGTGTGACCTCCAGTGGCCTCAGAACCTTTCTGGGCCCCATCACCTCACCTAAGGAAGCTGAAATGAATCAGCTCTCAGCTCCTTGTGGCAGGGATTTTCATTGCTTTTGTCTCTTCTTTCTTTCTCCCCTCAGATAATGAAACTGCATTTCCCAGCCTCCCTTGCAGCTGGGGGTGGCTGTGTCACACACACTGCCCAATGTGGACCCAGCAAATGCTAAGAGCATTGATTTTTTTTGGTCCGTTTTTGAGACAGGGTCTCACTTTGTCACCAGGTGGGAGTGCAGTGGCATGATCACAGTCCACTGCAGCCTTGAACCTCTGGGGTGAAGCGATCCTCCCGCCTCCTGCTTGCCTCCTCCTTCCTCCAAAGCGTGGAGACTCCTGATGAGGAAAGGGTTCCTGTGTCTCTAGCGGCTCCTTCTCAGCCTGCTTGAGGTTTGGCAGGAGGTTCAAGTGGAGATTGTGGGGGGCTTGCTCAGAGACCTCTCTGGGCCAGTGCAGCGCATCCCTCAGCCGCTGGGAATGGTGGCTGGTAACACAGCTCAGAGCTGCCCCCTTCTGTAGGGAATTGCACTCCCAGAAATGCCTGTCTGCTTTTACTCTGCTCCCAGAGGCAACTGCAGCCAGTGACTGCCTCAAGGGACAATGCTGTGTGCTGTTCCTGCTCCAGAGCCCCTGTGGGGTCAAGCTGAGGCTAGACTCCAGCTGGGACCCCCACCTGGCTCAGCTCCTGCCCCTGCCCTACTCCTACTACTCTCCTTACTGGCAGGTTCCCCCAAAAGGCATTCCCTCCATAAACCATGGCATTTGAGAACTCCTGTCTTGAGCTTGGCTTCTAGAGATCCTGACCTAAGACACAGGGATTAGGTACAGACCATACCAAAACTCAGGTCTGGAACTGTCCTGATTGGAAAAAGAGCCACCAGCTCTGAGATCGGGTGTGGATTTAGCAGCTCACATCAGACCCACAAACACTACTTCCTGGCGGCTGGCCACCAGCCTCTCAGCTTCAGTCAGGACTCTCTTTTTTTGAGACAGCTTCGCTTTGTCACCCAGACTGCAGTGCAGTGGTGCGATCTTGGCTCACTGCAACCTCCACCTCCCAGGTTCAAGTGATTCTCCCACCTCAGCCTCCCAAATAACTGGGATTACAGGCACAGGCCACCATGCCTGGCTAATTTTTGTATTTTTAGTAGAAACGGGGTTTCACCATGTTGGCCAGGCTGGTCTTGAACTCTTGACCTCAAGTGATCCATCCGCCTGCCTCGGCCTCCTAAAGTGCTGGGATTGCAGGCATGAGCTGCTGTGCCTGGCGAAGGACTCTCTTGACTGTAACAAACAAATCAGAGTGGCTTGAGCATGTGCCTGAGCCATGTGGGCTTCAGGCACAGCTGTTTCCGGGAGTTCAAATGATGTTGCCCCTGCTGGTCTGTGCATTGGTTTCCTCTGCAGCCAGGCAGGCTCTCACCGACAGGGTAAGACTGCCACCAGCAGCCCCAGTTTGCAGTGTCTCCTTTTAGCAGCCTCAGTAGGGAAAGTACCTCTCTCTTCCAGCATTCATGGACTGTCCCAGGCAGAACCCTGATGGGCCCAGCATGGGTAATGGGCCTTTTCCTGTAGCTCAGTGAGTGATCTCAGCCTGCCATGGTTACATGGAAGGGGAAAGACAGTTTCCCAAAGGAAAAAAAGGAGTTGTTGGGCATTGAAGCTGAGTACAGCCCATTCTCACTTTACGAAGAAGAGGGAATACTCTAAGGCACCCAGTGCCTGCGTGGGAATGTACACCTGTAAGTGGGTTGGGGAGAGGCAGGGTGTATGTGTTGAGGGAGAACTCATCACCTTGCCCCGCTAACCACAATGGCATGGTAGCCCAAATGCAGAATTAAATATCGGCTAAAGGTTTTGCCTTACATGAAAGTGTGTTCAACTATTCTCCATTTTTGACTCAGTTAATTGGAGTAAAATATAAGAATTTAAAAAAAAAAAACAAAACTGAAGAAGCTGGCACAGTGGCTCACGCCTGTAATCCCAGCACTTTGGGAGGCTGGGGTGGGCAGATCACAATTGCTTTCTTGTTTCCGGGACACCTGGTGGAAGGGAAATCTTGCTAGGCGTGTTATACAGCCCGTACCTGCAGGGCTGCAGGCTGTGTGTCTGTTCAGATGTGACCCATACAGATTCCAGGAATGACATTGCTGTTGTTGACAGAATTTGTCAAAATGATGACCAGCTGGTGATAAGTTTTAAGGAAAACAAAGTTCAGTTTTCCCTTGATGTACACAGTAGTTGCATTGCTGGAAAACTGACTGTATGTTAAACCAGCTTTCAAATACTTTGTGTTCACCAACATGGCGAAACCCCATCTCTACTAAAAATACAAAAATTTAACCAGGCGTGGTGGAGCATGCCTGTAATCCCAGCTACTCAGGAGGCTGAGGCAGGAGAATTGCTTCAACCTGGAAGGCAGAGGTTGCAGTGAGCCGAGATTGTGCCACTGCACTCCAGCCTGGTGACAGAGCGCGACTCTGTCTCAAACAAAATGAAACAAAACAAAACTGGAGGCTGGGCAAGGCAGCTTACTCCTATAATCCCAGCACATTGGGAGGCCGAGGCTGGAGGTTTGCTTGGGACCAGGAGTTTGAGACCAGCCTGAGCAACATAGAGCCTGTCTCTAGAAAAAATTTAAAAATAGCCAAGCATGATGATGTGCGTCTGTAGTTCCAGCTACTCAGGAGGCTGAGGCTGGAGGATCACTTCAGCCCAGGAGTTGGCTGCAGTGAGCCGTGATTGTGCTAGTGTATTCAAGCCTGAGTGACAGAGTGAGACCCTGTCTCAATAAAAAATAAATGAAAACCAGAAATGAAATGACCTCAAATAAAAATAGAATTGCAGATTAAAAATATAGGCATATGCTTTCCAAAAGATTGGAAAGATAAAAAGGACAGAACCGGCCAGGCTCACGCCTGTAATCCCAGCACTTTGGGAGGCCGAGACGGGCGGATCACGAGGTCAGGAGATCGAGACCATCCTGGCTAACACGGTGAAACCCCGTCTCTACTAAAAATACAAAAATTAGCCGGGCATGGTGGCAGGCGCCTGTAGTCCCAGCTACATGGGAGGCTGAGGCAGGAGAATCGGCGTCGCCCAGGAGACGGAGCTTGCAGTGGTGGAGACCGCGCCACCACTGCAACCTGGGGCGACAAGGCGAGACTCACGTCTCAAAAAAAAAAAAAAAAAAAAAAAAAAAAAAAAAAAGACAGAACCTATTTGAAAATTATGAGATTGCTTGTGGCTGTCAGTGGTCCCAAAGATATGCCCACATCCTAATCTCTGGAACCTGTAAATATTACCTTATATGTAGGCAAGAGTATTACCTTCTGTGGCAAACATGTGATTTATTTTTTTTCGAGACAGTCTCACTCTGTCACTCAAGCTGGAATTCAGTGGTGCAGTCCTGTAGCCCTGCAGTTTTTTTTTTTCGAGACAGTCTCACTCTGTCACTCAAGCTGGAATTCAGTGGTGCAGTCATAGCCCACTGCAGCCTCAAACTCCCAGGCTCAAGCAATCCTCCTACCTCAGCCTCCTGAGTAGCTGGGACCACAGGTGTGTGCCACCACGCCTGGCTACTTTTAGTAGAGACAGGGTCTCCGCATATTGCCCAGGCTGGTCTCCAACTCCTGACCTCAAATGAACCTCCTGCCTTGGCCTCCCAAAGTGCTGGGCTTACAGGCGTGAGCCACTGCGCCCAGCCAAGTTATAGATCTTTTTTTTTTTTTGAGACGGAGTCTCTCTCTGTCGCCCAGGCTGGAGTGCTGTGGCGCAATCTTGGCTCACTGCAAGCTCCGCCTCCCGGGTTCACGCCGTTCTCCTGCCTCAGCCTCCCGAGTAGCTGGGACTACAGGCGCCCGCCACTGCGCCCGGCTAATTTTTTCTATTTTTAGTAGAGGCGGGGTTTCACCATGGTCTCGATCTCCTGACCTTGTGATCCGCCCGCCTCGGCCTCCCAAAGTGCTGGGATTACAGGCGTGAGCCACCGTGCCCGGCCCAAGTTATAGATCTTGAGAGGAGCTTATCCTGGATTATCTGAGTGGACTCTCAACACCTACATGTCACACATCTGCATCTTATAAGAGCGATGCAGAGGTGTCTAGAGGGAAACTAAGACACTTTGAGCAAAAGACCAGGGGAAGACAGAGATAGGGATGGGGGTGATGTGGCCACAAGCCAAGGAATGTCAGGAGCCACTGGAAGATGGAGGAGGTAGGCACAGATTCCCCTAGAGCCTCTGGAGAGACTACATCTCTGCCAACACCTGCATTTCAGACTTCTCATCTCCAGAAGTCTGGAGACTAATAGCGCTGTCTAAGATCATTAGAGTTTGGTTTCCATTACTTCTACCTAAAAAGGTCCTGAGTTATACACAGTGTTAAGTCTGGCCAAGCCTCAAGGCTGAGTCCAGCTGTGGCCCCCATGACCAGGAATAGGTCATACCTTATTCCTCCATATCTGACTGTCAGCCTCCTTGTCCTGCAGGGAGTTGTCACTTTTGTGCACGGGCTTTGGGAGACTGCAGTCCTGCCCCCACACTACCCTCCTGTGACTGGGTCTTTCTGTTACCTGTTGCCTGGCAGGTGGCTGGGAGTGGGGGTGATGCAAAAAGGCAGGTGCTGGAAGCATCTGTGGATTTATTGCTGGAAACTTCACGGCTCATGAATGCCCATCCTGGTGTGGAGCCCAGTGATTAGGTGCAAGGTTGAAGTGGAAACGACTCACCACGCACCAAGTGAGTCAGGCCGGGCCATGCGCACAGAACCAGCTCATTTTTGCATGAAATGTGGACACAGGTTGGTGAAATTTCTAGAGGGCCAGGAGGACAGGGGCTGTGTGGGCTTTAGAAGCAGTCCCTCAGCCAGACAGCAACTTGCC